TATGTCTTTGGAGACATTCTTCAACTACAGTTTTTCTGGCTATCTTGTTACAGTTCGAGTGCTGAAGAATCTGGGCTGTCTGCTGTGTAGGATCTCCTGCAGTCTGGACTTCGTTAATTGCTCTCATGGTGCAGTTCAACGTGTTCCTCTGTCTTTTGTATTTCTGCAAATCCGCTTGCCAACAAAGTAGTAGGTGATGTATTCTTTCATTAGGAGATGCGTAATGTCTAAATGTCCTCATTTTCTGATATTATTAGTTGTTGATGATTTTTGCCTAGATCCATTAATTTGCTGGGGGTTGAAAAACAGCAACCTCCTAATGGTATCATTTCTCTTCCATTTATGAGCTGAAAAACTTTTATAAAGATTTTGAATTTTTAACATATTTTATGGATTTCAATGCATTGAAATGATTATGATTATCGTGGCAGATTTGAAAACATGGCCACAATATTTTGCATCTTATCCCATCAAGAAATGGAATTTATTTCTCCACTCTCATTGACTCTGAACTGGCCTTGTGACTTGCTTTGACCAACAGAATGTGGTAAAAATAAAGTCTTGCAACCTAGGCGTTAAGAGGACTTGCAGCTTCTGCTTTCATCCACTTGGAGCACTGTCCTGAGTCCACCGATCAAGCCTACTGCAGGATGAGAGAGGCCTCTGGAAGAAAAGTGAGGCACCCTTACCCATACTCCCATATAACCACTCACCATTTAAGCAAGGCCATCTGGGGACATCCTGGCCTGGTTGAGCTACCAGATAAGCATAACCACAGGAATAAGCTCAGACTAGACCAGCAGAACTGCCCAACCCTCCTACAAGATCGTGAGAAATACATTAAACCTCATCATTCACAGAAGTTGTATTTTATAAAGTCATCCCAAGCATTCAATTAGTCAATACAATATCATTGCCTGTAGAGGAAATGTCCCTGTGAGCCTCTGATCAAAATATACTCCTCAACCCTCAACATATAACCTTGTTTTATGTGTGTCCCATTTAAAAACAGCCAACTGAATTAGGCACACCTGAGCAAAGCTTATCTAACACACCTATTTTCTTCATAAGGTGCAATACAGCCTTAAGAATACCAGGCAGAGGCCGGGCGCGGTGGCTCACACCTATAACCCTAGCATTCTGGGAGGCCAAGGCGGGAGGATTGCTCAAGGTCAGGAGTTCGAAACCAGCCTGAGCAAGAGCGAGACCCCGTCTCTACTATAAATAGAAAGAAATTAATTGGCCAACTAATATATATAGAAAAAAATTAGCCGGGCATGGTGGCTCATGCCTGTAGTCCCAGCTATCTGGGAGGCTGAGGCAGAAGGATTGCTTGAGCCCAGGAGTTTGAGGTTGCTGTGAGCTAGGCTGACGCTATGGCATTCACTCTAGCCTGGGCAACAAAGCAAGACTCTGTCTCAAAAAAAAAAAAAAAAAAAAAATACTAGGCAGAATCTCAGCAATACTTCTTGGGGCCTTTTTATTTATTTTTTTTTTTTTTGAGACAGAGTCTCACTTTGTTGTCCAGGCTAGAGTGAGTGCCGTGCGTCAGCCTAGCTCACAGCAACCTCAATCTCCTGGGCATTGAGATCCTTCTGCCTCAGCCTCCCGAGTAGCTGGAACTACAGGCATGCGCCACCATGCCCGGCTAATTTTTAGTATATATATACAGTGGCCAATTAATTTCTTTCTATTTATAGTAGAGACGGGGTCTCGCTCTTGCTCATGCTGTTTGAATCCGTGACCTTGAGCCAAATCGCCCGCCTCGGCCTCCCAAGGCTAGGATTACAGGCGTGAGCACACACGCCCGGCCTCTGGGCCTTTTTTAAACAGCAAAATCACCAACATCAAGCACAAAAATATATAAAAAAAAAACATGTCAGTTAAGAGATGACAAAAAGGACACTTGTCTACAATAAGAGCCGAAAGAAGTAGGCAAAACATCACATGGTTCAGCTTCAGCTAGGAACATGTGTATCAGTCCACTCAAATTTTTCCACTGCTCTGCGCATGTCCACAATGACCACAAAAATACTCTAAGTACTGATTATGAGGTTAAAATTAAACTTTAGCAAGTAGGTCAATTTGCAAGTAAGAATCCTTGAAATGAGGCCGGGCGTGGTGGCTCACGCCTGTAATCCTAGCACTCTGGGAGGCCGAGGCGGGCAGATTGCTCGAGGTCAGGAGTTCGAAACCAGCCTGAGCAAGAGCGAGACCCCGTCTCTACTATAAATAGAAAGAAATTAATTGGCCAACTAATATATATAGAAAAAATTAGCCGGGCATGGTGGCGCATGCCTGTAGTCCCAGCTACTCGGGAGGCTGAGGCAGCAGGATTGCTTGAGCCCAGGAGTTTGAGGTTGCTGTGAGCTAGGCTGACGCCACGGCACTCACTCTAGCCTGGGCAACAAAGCAAGACTCTGTCTCAAAAAAAAAAAAAAAAAGAATCCTTGAAATAAAGAGGATAAATCATAATACACTGTGTTGTTTTAGGCCACTGGGTGATTTGTTACACAGCAATAAATCACCGAAACACTTGCTGAAGCTCACATTGTCCCATCTTCTGCCAGGCACTGTGTCTTAGATTGGGTTCCCTGGACAAGACTCTGAAACAGAATTCTGTGCGATGGTTTGTTGCGGAGTGCTCTTAGGAGACACATCTGTAAGGGAGCAAAGGAGGGACATGGGAGCAGCTGACCTACAAGGCAGTTGCAACTGATATCTCAGCTGATCCTACAAGAACCCCTTCCAGGTTGTCCCACATTAAGAAAAGGAGGCTGAGCCTTTATAGCCCTGCATACCAATCATTTGCTATGGGCTACCCCTGAGAAAAGACTTAATCTTGAGGGAATCAGTTCCCTGCAGCTGAGTACGCTTTTTGTGAGTCAGTAGTTTCAGAAGCTGGAGGGTGGGTGTGATTTCTTTGCAAATGGGATCTAGCAGGAATACCACGGGTCACTACAGGTTGCCTCTTCCAATAGGTTCCTTGCTATCTGGTATGATAAGAAATTCCAGGCTTATTTTATAAATATCCAGTTGCACATTCATACATTTTTCAAGCCATTTCTCCAAGAAGTTTCTTTTGGTGGCAAATGATACTTTAAGACCTCAATCTGGGCACTGGAGATGTTCATTGCTATATCTCACTTGCCCTTTATGACTGGAAACCCATAGGGGTTTTTGTTTGGTTTTGTTTCTTTTTTGTTATTTGCAGTAAAATGGATTGCCCGCCACTCAACTCCTCTCCCTGTGTTCTCTTTCAGAGGGTGGTCCTACCCAGTCACCAAGCCGCTTACATAATAGTCCTGCTAAGGACTAACTCTACCATCATACCATCATTTCCACACCTTATATGTGGCCCCAGACCAGAGCCTGTTTATAAAAGATAATCCACAAGTATTTGTTGGAAAGAATAGAAATGACTAACACTTACTTGGCACTTAGTGTTCTTTTCTAGGGTGGTGGGGGGGGGGTATGCCTGTCTTTTCTGGTAGCCAGAGGCTGTTCCTTAGTAACCAATTCTTGAACTGAAATCCTATTCTCCTACAACAAGAAGCGTGCTCTAATATTGGCAGACCAAAGGACACCTCTTCTGGAACCATAAAATTCCCAAAGCCTGGGACTTTTCCTACCACAGGAGCACTAACCTTTGCCTACCCCGTTGTGCTTTTTCCGCTTTGCCAATGCAACCTGGAAAGGAACAGGGAGATGGAGCAATGAGCTGAGAGGGCAGAGAGAGAAAGGAGTAAAATGACAGAGGATGTGTGAGCATTCATTCATTCACTCCCAAATAGTTCCTAAACGCCTGCTGTGTTGCAAGCCTGAAGATGGAGGATGGAAGATAGAGAATGATTAGACAGAGAGCCCCCTGGTTTGAGGAACAAAATGTCAACCAGTGGAAACAGAAATAAACAGGCTCCAGGCCTCCAGAGTCCAGAGAGTGAGTGGAAAGTCTGTTATATTACACAGCCCAGCAGTCCACAGGAGTGGCTTGTGGGATACGGCAGCACTTATACGTCTTAACTGATGAGGAAGAAGAAAGACAGAAATGAGGAGCTGTACTGGCACTCTCAGCAGAGGGGACAGCATGGGAAAGAGCCAGTCAGCCTGTTCTGAAAGAAAGCTCAGTAACAGGCATGTGGCGAGCCTTGGGCCTCCACCAAGTCTGAGACACCAGGTCTGGTAATTGGGGGAATGAATCTGTTTCCCTCTCTCCCTCTGTCTCTCTCTCTCACACACACACATAGAGTGAGCCCTACCTTCCCACCCTCCTCCTGGTGGCTACTCAGCACTTCGGGCTCAAGGTCCAGTCCATAGGCCCTCATGTCCCCTCCAGGGACACCTGGTACAGGGCATAGGGAGAGGTAGGAGAGTGTGAGTGTGCCATGTCCCAGCCTCTGTCCCTGTTGCTCCCCTGCTCTGACTATAGCGACTGTTAAACTCAAGTCCAACACTCCCAACTCTGGAGATGCTGGTGGCTAAGACAGTTCCAACGCAGGCACCAGGACCCTCTGGGTAAAGCCACCACCTGTCAGATTATAAGACAGCAGGCAAGCTCCCTCATTTCTGGGTCTGCCAGAGATTAATGGAGATCATGAATATCTTCCTAAGGTTAATGAGAAACCAGTTCTCTACAGAGTATGTCATATACGACGTCACGCCCGGGTGAGCAGAGCTGCAGAACACACACACAGGAGACTCTCCAAACATTTATTCAGGTGCTTTCTGAAAACTCCCCACTCTATAGCTGCCTCAAAACAACCATAAAAGTCTTTAAATTATTTTATAGAGTTTGGGTTTTTTTCCTGTTAGCAGGAACACAGACAGCAGAGCACAACTTTCTAAAACCATTGTCCAGCTCACATCAGGGTAGGCAGAGGCCTCCCCTCTCACTCTATGATTTAAAAAGAGTCATCAACATTTTCCTAGCTTAACATGGGGTAAGTTCACTTCAGTGTCCCCAACCCCCAGCCCAGTAAAAATGTAGAACACACAGGAGATTCTCTAAACGTTTTTTATTCAGGTGATTTCTGAAAACTGCACTCCATAACTATCTCAAAACAACGTGGGGGTCCCTGGATGTGGCCCCTAGAACACTGAGGAAGGGGGTGCCAAGAATGGGTCACCCCAACAGGGCTTGTGTGGCAGAGGCTGTCCACTCACACATGGATCCACAGTGGGGCACAGGGGAGCTTCTCCCAGCCCCAGACGACTGAGCCACATGTATTCGAGGCCTCGCACCTCTGCAGGGACCTGGCAACGCCTCCTTCACTCTCTCTGAGCAATCACCAAGCTGACTGCTTCACAAAGTCTCAGGTGAGAGCCCTGAAACCACGACCAGGTCTAATGCTTGTTCACCGTTGGTGGTGTCTCTTCTTTGGCAGATGTTCTCCGAGATGGCGATGAGTCATCATGCCCCACCTGGCAGGTCCTGGCCCCTTAGCTGGCATCGGTTCGTCCCCTCCTTCCCACCAGGCAGAGCATGCCCAGGTGTAGGGGTGGCCAAGGCAGGTGACCGGAGCACCAGGCAGGGACACTTTCCAGGCCCCAGTCTCCCTGCCATGCTCGCTTGTGTGGATCTCCAGAGGGCCAGGGGATCACAACTGGGATTTGAGGAAAGGGCACAGAGAAGGAGCAGGAGGTTAGTCGGAGGAGATGCCTAAGTTTGAGACTCAGAAACAGGAGGGGAGTGTGCTGGGGCCATCATGGAGTCACCAGGATGTCCAGAGGCAGCACTAGACACAGGAACAGACCAAGGAAGCCTGTTGAGTCCAGACAGGAAGCTTGACTCAGGCGACTATTGATCCAGTCCCTATAGACACTAACTTCCGTATAAACTCCAGGAAATCCTTGCTTACCGCAGCCGAGGCCCCAGCTCACAATCCCCACCTGGATCCACGCGTTATTTAATTCACAGACCAGGGGCCCCCCAGAATCTCCCTGGAGAAAGAGAAAGAAACAAACTGCAGGAACGGAACGGGACCCATGTCACAGCAGTCACTGAAGAGACAGGGACACATGGTGCATCCCCTGGATCTCAGCCCTGGGTTTCTGTGAATGTGAGATTTGAGAATTGAACATCTTTAACAACAACAACAACAACAAAAAAAAACGTGTTCCAAAAACTGAATGTGAATAAAGAAAATGTACCTACTCTGAGATACTAATGAGTAAAAGTACATTGCCTGTCACACAGAAAGGGTTCCAAACACGGAATTGGTATCGTTAGTGTTACCTGCCAGATTCACCCTGCCCCCCACTCCAAGCTTTATTAGCTACTCTCTCCTGAAGAATCGGGTAAGGTGAGCCCAGGAGAGCACTGGTGACTTTCCTCACCTTCCATTAATGTAACTAATGATAAATGGAGGGGCAGACCCTGTTGGCTGGGGATGATGAAATTTTGTCCAGACAGCTGGAATGCTGAGGCAGCAAGGGGCCCGTGAACTGACCTGGCAGGAATCTTTTCCTTTGTCATTATAGCCACAGACCATCCCTTCTCTGATCGGTTCACCAGGTACTCTCAGCTTTTCCCTGAATATCTTAGCACATTCCGGACGACGGATAATGCTCAGCTCAGCCTCCTGAAGCTCCCGTGGCAATATTGGATCTACAGAGAAACAACTTTCGACTGAGTGGATCTGCAAAGTGGGACAGGAAGGAGTACCCCATACCCCTGTGGATCTCAATACAGTGTGTTCACACACAGACACCCTCTTAGGCATCTGGATATCGTCCCCATTTGACCCAGAAAGAAAAGGAAGAGAAAAATGGAGAAAATGAAGCCCACAGTTGACATGGGGACAGGAGGATGTAAGAGCCGAAGCAAACCAGGAGAAATAAGAACAGATCAGGAGAGGGAAGGCAAGGCCTTACCACCCTGAGAAATCAAAACCAAGCATCTGTCATGCTAAGTATCAGTAGGAATAGTGACAGGGTATCCTGTGCATCTGGTAAAGTATCTTTACTTTTTAGAACAGGATCACAAACTCTAAAATCCAGCCTCTCCCCAGGGATAGGATGACCTACCCTTCACTGAGAGGTCTCTGCCCTCTTCTCACACACAGGAAGCTCCCTGTCTAGTAGGGCAGGTACTTCCCAGGAGGGACAGCTTACATTGGCAGGACAGCTCATCACCCCCAAGCTAAAATCCACCCTAGAGAGAACCCACCATGCCTTGCACCCAAGCCCCCAGGTCCTGACAAACTGATAGAAATTCATAACCAGTTGTTAAATTATTCCCTGGCAGCATCTTCTCCACCCTGCTCCCTTCCTTACTATAACATCTGCCTCCCTGTCCCTCCCTTTTGATTGCAGGCCAACCTCAGGGCACCAGGCAGCCTATTTTCTGGTCTGAGTTTCCTACAGTCTTGCTTCATAGTCTCACCTGTTTCTTTCAGTCTGCCCCATCCAGTCACCCAGCACTCCGTATCCGATTTCACCATGAAAGTCTTTTCAGGGAGGCACACAGGCTGGATGTGTGTGGAGTAATTCACAGGGAAGGCAAGCAGAGCAAGGGCGATGTCATTTTTAAGGTTAATGTGACTATAATATTCGTGGACAACAATGTCTTCAACTGGGACCACAACTGAAGTGTCGGACTCTTGGTACAGCTGTATGCCTCCCATCTTCACCGTGTATTCCACATAGCTGCAAGGAGATCCTCGAGGGTCTATATACTCTGCTTCCACACCTCACAGGTGCTTCCCAGCCTGGCCCCATCTTCCTAGGCCAGCCATCAGCCACTTCCCTCCCTCCACACCACATCCCCTCCAGGGACCCCTGACCACATAGCCAGCAGTTCTCTGGCGGTCCCCAGACCAGCAGCACCATCACCTGGGAACGGATTAGAAATGCAAATCCTCAGCTCTCAGCCCAGACTGGATAAAAGCTATGGGGCTGTCACCCCCTTTTTCAGATGAGGAAGAGAAAGCTCAGGGAGGGAACAGGTTGGCTCCAGGTCAGAATTCCTGATCAGGGGCCCAATCCCGGAGCCCCAAACACTCACCCCTCTATGCAGTGGGCTGCAGTCAACACCCACCGGTTGGTGATGAGGGAGCCTCCGCAGAGATGTCCGTTATAGTTCCGCAGGCTCACCTGCCAGGGCCACTTCCTGTCTGGGGCAGGACTTCCACCGACAATCCTCATAGCCCTCTGGCCACATGCTGGAGCAGGTCAATGAACGGAAGGAACTGGGGGTGAAGTTGCTGCCGCACTTCCACCAGCACCCGATGGCCCTCAGAACCCTCAGGGCGAGGCCCCGCACGCCCCCGGGGCACGTCTGTGTCTCCTAAGACTCCTCAGATGATGGCTGTGTCCTCTCAGATCTCAAGGGCAGGCTAAGTGCACTCAGCACGCCCCCCACCCCTGGAAGGATCGTGTCCCCCCGAGACCCTCCTCCTCTAGGGCAGGGTCCCGGCCCCCTCAGACCAGGACAGTTCTCTGTGGCAGGTAATGGCCCAGAAACATCACCTGAACCAGCTTTTCTTCCGACCCATTCTGATTTTGTCTGTGAGATTGCCACAGCGTCCATATCGTCATAAGAATCAGAGACACCTGAAGTAAATGCCACCGAATTAGGTGACACTGTGCTCCCCCTGGACTGGGGGGGAGCGGGGGGCCTCGGAGCCCCTTCAGGTGGTGGCTGCCGCCTGCTTGCTCCAAGGTCCTCGCCGCCATCCACTGAAGGGAGAGGGGAGAGTGAGGGCGGTGCCGGCCCACCCTGCGCCCCCGCGCCTCCCGCCTGGGTCTCGCCGAGCGGGGGCTGAAGGAGCAGCAGCCAAGCCAGAAGGCCCAGGGAACCGTCGCCCGGGAACGCCATGGGAACCGCTGGCAACCTCGGCCTTGTCGTAGCGCCCCCTCGCGGCGGCTACCGCCCCTGCCTGGTTTCCTGGGGAAACCTGGAACTCCTCGCGAGGGACTGGGGCGGGGCTGGCACGCTGGGCTGTGTCTGGGGACTGCCCGCGCGGGCTGGGCCTAAGGCGGCGGGAGGGCCTCGGGTGGCGGAGCCCGGCCGGAGGCGAGGGGGGAGGCCGGGCCGCGTGAGGAGTCGGGCCAGGCGGGTGAAGGCCTGACGGACGCCAGTCTTCTCTCCGCCGGGCCTGGTGGCTCAAGCCTGTAATCCTAGCTCTCTAGGAGGCCGAGGTGGGAGGATCATTTGAGCTCAGGAGTTCCAGACCAGCCTGAGCAAGAGCGAGACCCCGTCTCTACTAAAAATACACAAAAATTAATTGGCCAACTAAAAATATATAGAAAGAATTAGCCGGGCGTGGTGGCACATGCCTGTAGTCCCAGCTACTCGGGAGGCTGAGGCAGAAGGATCGCTTGAGCCCAGGAGTTTGACGTTGCGGTGAGCTAGGCTGACGCCACAGCACTGTAGCCTGGGCAACAGAGTGAGACTCTCTCAAAAAAACAAAAGAGTCTTCTCTCTTGGTAGCCCGCGTGGACTCAAGCCCCTCCACCTCATTAAGGGGGCGCCTCTTTGGCACTCCGCGTCTCCGGGCCGAGGTCCGGGCAACAGACAGCAGCAGCTGCCTAGCCCTTTGCTCGCAGAGGCGAATGCACAGCTCCCTGCACCACGCGGAGCTTCGGCTAGGCCTAGGCCAAGGCTTTCCCAGACTCTCCCTCCATGACTTGTTCACAATAAAAATTAAAACTCCTTAACAGAAATGTTACACTTAACATTACCAACCACTGCGTTAGAGATGATACTGCTACCTTTTTGAAAATTAACATCCACATGAAAAGATGTTCAACATCATTGGCCATTAGCAAAATTCAAATTAAAACCACATGAGATACCATTACACACCTATTAGACTGGCTAACATAAAAAATAGTGACGATACCAAATGCTAACACGGATGCAGATAGTGGATCACTCACATGTTGTGGTGAGAATGTAAAATATTACAGCCACGCTGGAAAACAGATTAGCAGTTTCTTATAAAACAAAATATGCAATTATCAAACAACCCAGTAATTATACCCGTAGGCATTTATCCCAAAGAAATAAAGATTTGTGTTCACACACACAAACCTGTACAAATCTTTGTAGTACCTTTATTCATGATAGCCAACATCTGGAAACAACCTTGTAGAAGACAAAGTAATGGACTCCCAAAGATGTGCACATTCTAATCCCTGGAACCTGTATGTTACCTTACATGACAAACAGACTGTGATTAAATTAAGGATTTTGAGATGGGAGACCATTCGGTATTAGCCTTGTGCGCCCAATGTAATCACAAGTGTCCTAGAGGGAGGCGGGAGAGCCAAAGTCAGAGAAAGCTGTGATGCCAGAAGCAGAGATCAGAGGGAGAGAGAGAGATTGGAAGATGCTTCAGTGCTGGTTTTAAAGACGGAGGAAGGAACCTCAGAATGCAGCAGCATCTAGAAACTGGAAACAGCAAAGAAATACATTCTTCCTTGGATCCTTCAGAAGGAACGCAGCAAGCCAACTTCTTGATTTTAGAATGTCTGACCTCCAGAGTTGCAAGATAATAAATTTGGGTTGTTTTAATACACTACATTTGTGGTAAACTGTTACAGCTGTAATAGGAAATTGATATAAACCCAGATGTCCATCAATGGGTAAATGGTTACACTGACGTACACCCATACCACAGAATACTACTCAGCAAAAGAAAGAATGAACTATCAATACATGGAACAACTTGAATGAATTTCCTAGGAATTATGCTGAATGAAAAAAGCCAATCCCAAAGGTTATATGCTGTATAGTTCCATTTATATAACACTTCTAAAAAGACAAAATTTTAGAAATGAAAAACAGATTAGTGGTTGCCCAAATTTAAGGAAGTAGTTGTAGTTTTGAAAGTGCAACACAAGGAATACTCTGGTAATGAAATTGTTTTGTGTCTTGACTACGGGAGTAGATAGATACTTACACATGTGATGAAATTTTGTAGAACTATACCTACACCTTGACTTGTACAGCCTCATAAATTTAGCACAAGTAAAACTGGAGAAATCTGAATAAGACAGATGGATTGTATCAGTGTTAATATCCTGGCTGTGATATGGTACTATCATTTTTCAGGATGTTGCCACTGGGGGGAACTGGGTAAATGGTATAGGGGATCTCTCTGTATTATTTCTCACAATTGCATGTGAATCTCTAATTATCTCAAAATTTAAAAAAAAATTATAAATCACACCAATCATAAAATTTTAATAGTATAAAATTTTTATACAGTATTATTACTGTCTAATCTTGGCCTCAGAATCTTGATTTTAAAAGCCAAGTGATGAATCTGCTATCGATATATAGCAATATATTATTATTATAAAAGCAAGTTATTTTCATTGTGAAAAATAAGAGAAAACAGATAAGCAAAGAAGAGGAAAATCTCATTACCTTCATAATTGTACACATATTTTTGGAGCCCATTTTTTCAAATAACAAAATATTCTATTAAAAATATAATTCTTTAAAAATTACAAGCTAAAAAAGTCAACATCAGAGCCCAATTTCCCATCTTTTCTCGTCACTTTGAGGTGTACTGATCCAACTTTTGTTTATCTCAAAACTTATTAGAATGCTCCTTTCGAAGCCATTCTAAATTGTTTCCTTGAAGGAGAAATATCCTTCTGTGCAGTCTGATCTCGATCTCCAAGTCCTAGATCTTAAGCCAAGTCCTGGCAACATTTTTCACAATCTCTGCTGTTTTCCTCCTTTGAAGTTAATGAATTCAACCTAATTACAGCCATACTAAAGAGTTGATTTGCTTTTTTTTTAAGCATCCAGAACCATGTGGGAAGCTATAATATCATCACTTCATCGGTACATGAACATATTTACCAATAATTGTAATAGAGTGTTATAAGTATCTTGAATGAAAGACACATCTTAGATATCTTTTGAAAGTCAATTTTTCAGCAATTGTCAAATTTTAAAATATCCTCTGATCTAGTAATTCCCCTGCTGGCAATTTATCCTTTAAGAAAATATGCCAATTGGCTGGTGTGGTGGCTCATGCCTGTAATCCTAGCACACTGGGCGGCCTAGGCAGGAAGATTGCTTGAGTCCAGGAGTTCAAGACGAGCTTGAGCAAGAGCAAGACCCATGTCATCACAAAAAATAGAAAAATTAGCCCAGCGTGGTGTGCACCTGTAGTCCCAGCTTCTCAGGAGGTTGAGGCAGGAGAATCACTTGAGCCCAGGAGTTTGAGGTTGCAGCTGATAATGCCCAGGCAACAGAGGAAGACCTTGTCTCATTAAAAAAAAAAAATCTTCATGACCATGAAGTAGAAAATTATTTCTTAAACAAAATACATGAAGCACTGACCATAAAGGAAAGATTAACAAATTACCATCAAATTACCATTAAATTAAGAGCTGCTGTTCATCCAAAGACACCATAAAAATTTATGGAGAAATATAAAGCCACATGGTGGGGGAAGATATTTTCAACGCATATAACCAACAAAATACTAGTATCCAGAATATAGAAAGAGCTCCTGAAGGCCGGGTGCGGTGGCTCACGCCTGTAATCCTAGCACTTTGGGAGGCTGAGGCAGGCGGATTGCTCAAGGTAAGGAGTTCGAAACCAGCCTGAGCGAGACCCCGTCTCTACCAAAAATAGAAAGAAATTAATTGACCAACTAAAAATATATATACAAAAATTAGCCGGGCATGGTGGCGCATGCCTGTAGTCCAGCTACTCGGGAGTGAGGCAGGAGGATTGCTTGAGCCCAGGAGATTGAGGTGCTGTGAGTAGGCTGACGCCATGCACTCATCTAGCCGGGCAACAAAGTGAGACTCTGTCTCAAAAAAAAAAAAAAAAGAAAGAAAGAAAGAGCTCCTGAAAATTACTCGAATATGGCAGATACTTTGAAGGCACTACACAAAAGAGGGAATCCAAATGGCTAATAAATGTGGCAAAGGAAGACTTAGTGATAAATATATTTAGAAAAAGAAAGAACTTTCTTTGTAGAATGCAAGAAAGTTGGACTCAGAAGAACTGATTCATTGAACTTACTCTGTGAGTATTTTAATGGAAAACCCACAAAGTCACCAAGATCACCAAGTTTACATTCGTCTCCTCAAGCTGAGAGCACAGGAACTTTCTCACATGATCATGATACTCACAAAGGTCATAACATATATTCAGACATCAGCAGAGTAAAATTAAGAGATAAAATCATTTTTGTTATGGAGTCCAAGTTTATAAAAATATTGGCAGTGCTATTACTTTGGGATCAGAACTAGATAGGATGCTCTTGCTACCTTTTGGGTTATTTCTGGAATCAATTTTCCCCCTGGCTTAGCAATTTTCTGATTCAGCATCAATTCAATATTTCGTGTTATTCAACAAGTTTATTTACACAGAAATAGTAAGAGGTGTTGTTCAATATGTAAAGACCTTTGTGGTAGACTGCAAAAGTGGCTACACTACTTTGCAGTTTCTCCTGTCAAGAGATGGAGTCAGTGGTATAAGCAGCGTCATAACTTGAGCTATGTGATCTGGCAAATCCCACAGTGCTGGAGTTTCTATGGTGAATAAAAATGCTGTCAAGTCTCTGATATGTCCTAACTAGAGAGTCATAGTGTAGATCTCCACAGTTCTAAAGCAAGATCATACTGTGTGCAGCAAAGAAACTGCACACTATTTGAAAAGCATCTCCTGGAACACTACTGAACCCTAAAAGAAACTAAGTGCGAGACCATGGGACGTTAAGTGACTAAGAGACTAGAGCTTCCTGTCATGAGGTGGATATTTAGTCAGACTCATCAAGTCCTATACTCAATTGGACAAAACAGCAATCCATCATTCAGTGGAAGTGATACATTTGAGATTGGATCATGGCAGGTCTCAAAGATACAAGTAAGTTACACAAAGAGATGGACTAGGCCTCCATGTCACCTATTTGTATTACATTGAAACTTGTCCCTCAGTTCACATCCACACCCTTATAGAGAGTGTCTTAGGAGTAGGTGAAGGAGGAAAAGCCTGGGCCTGGTTCAAAGATGGGCTCAAAATCTTATACCAGCTGAAAATAGATTGCTATTGTGTTAGAGCCCCCTTCAGAGATAGCCCAGGAAGACAGTAAGGAGGGGAAGTCCTGTGTATAGAGCTTCAAACAGTACCTGGTCATCAACTTGCTGTACAGGGAGAAGTGGCCTGAGTA